CCCCCCTTTCTCTTCTCTTTCCCACTTCCTCCCCCTCCCCCTTTTCACTCTCTCCACCTCGCCTACCATCCATACTTTGCACCTTATGAGTGATATATAGAAATGAACCGTGAAAATGATACATTATATGCATTTTGTGTTTGAAATTTGTCCATTGATGCTATTTATATGTATAACAAGGAGTAATGATTCGAAGGCATATAAATATCATACGTTACATATTTATTGGATTAAATCCTCATTTAGTTCTTTTTAACCTACATTTATTGTGGTGATGATAATAATATGCTTAAAGAATTGTCGCGGTACTTCATGAATATATGTGTGGGAATTTGCTCAAATAGATTGTGTTAGAATGTCGTAGAACGATGTCCCTTTGACCTTAGCTATGTTTGATCAGATACTGTAAACTTACATGTATTTTAGTGGTAATGTCATTTTAGACTGCACTTATTTAACACTTACTGTGCTTGTATGCTTATTCATCAACAGTGGTTTCAAGTATGTAGTCAACAAAAACGGTTGTGTTGATGTCAAAGTTACATTTCATGGCCGACCTTACACATCATCACTGAAACGCAACTGCACTATTACTTTGATTGTAGAAAGTGTTCGGTGTTTTATTCCTATGCAAATAGGAACGTTAATGGGAAAAGGTAGGCAGGGAGAAAAAAATGTTAATTTGATCCAAACGACCTTTGACCCCCATAACACCAATCAACTAAGTACTTTGTCTAAGTCAGCTAAATAGACTATTAAATAGACTATACATGTTGGTGTGTCATGAAATATTGCATTTTTTATTTTAACTGTAAAATGGCAAGTTTTGTGTTAAGTCATAATCACTGGAAAGATATGCAAATATTTTTTACATTTTATTTCATCAGAAAGGTTACTGGAGCATGACAAATTGCTCAAGCATGGCATTGCAATGGAGCATGAAAAGTCATATAACCATACATGATAGCTTTAATTAGAGGGTTGTCCCCCTTCATCTGTTGCAGAAGAAAAATGAAGGCAATGCCAGTACTTTGTATTAAATGGGAATAACAAAGCCCTATAGGATACACAGTATATATAAGAATGGGTAGACTAGTGTTTCCGTCTAAATTTATTGTGAGAGTACTTATTTAAGTTGACACAGATTTAGGCGGCATAATATAAAATGTTGACAGATTCGCGTGTTGATGAGTTTGCGCACTTACAATATATGCAATAGGAACCTATATACAAAAACTTCAATAAGCCACATCGTGAATTAGCGCAATGTTGAAAGTGCAGAGTGCTCTAAAACTAGAATATCACTAGAATTTGTAAGTTTACAGTACATTTCACACTAAACCACAGTGATTTACTGCGTAGATGTTGTGTTAAGATAATTCACAGTTGAAACTTGTAAATCAGGGCTATCGTGTTCCAAGAAACCTTGCCTCATCGTTGCTGATATTTTGGTATTTCTTACATATGCAATGAACAATTCAGTTGTTAGAAACCAAAAAGGGGAGACAAATCTGATAAAATCAAGGGAAAAATGACCATACCAACAAAGTTGGCACGTTCCTCTACACACGAAAAAAACAAAAATGTCCAGACATTTTAAGCAAGGTTCTACTGTACACACAAACCAAACGCCTTGTGCCTAATGAGGCTCACACAGAAACCAAAATCTGGACTGACAAATATTAAACTGATCAAGTTTCACACACATTAAATGTTCACAGTTAACTGTGTTGTATATTGATCATGAGAAGTACTAGAACTCGGGGTCATCCCAACCTGTGATAGTAATACCATAGACCCTACACTCGTCTTAATGAATATACATGTATCTTATTATCATTTTGTTGAATAATATCATGTATATTTTTGCTTTTGTTTTTGCTAGATAGATATTATACAAATATGCAATTAGATGATGTTTCCTAAAAACTTATGTTTTACTGAGTTTAACTAAAGCTTCTTACCTTGATCTTGTAGAAAAATGTCGCTTGCAGATGTTTACTTTTCTTTTCTATGTTAGTGTAAAAGATGTGCATTGATTAGGTTGCCTTACAAGCGTCAGTTGTAGGGAATTTCCCTTTAGCTCAGCGGTAGAGCATCGGGCTGGAGAGCCAAGGGTCGCGGGTTCGAGTCACAGCAATGGCACTATCTATCATTATTCCTCTTACTTCTACACTGGATCATTATTACCGTGAAAAGTTCTGCTTTAAATTATGGTTATTTTTCTTTGAGAAACATTTTTGTTGAAATATGTTTTGGCAAAAACATTTGATGCAACATACCTATACTCTTATGTCAATGTGTGAATGCAGCAAGTTACAACTGTATGATATTAATAATGATATACAAATATAGGAAATATCTTTCTAGATTTTTGTTTGACAGAGCCAACATATGTTGATAAAAAAAATTGGTAAGAAAAAAATTTGGTAAGAAAATATTTTTTCCATATTTTCAAGTTGGCGTAAATTTGATACTTTCTCTTTGAACCCTTAAGAATATATATATATTGGAAGCAATGTTACAGAGCACTGTCAGTTTGATACTAGTCAGAAAGATAAGTGGGATTAGTGATAGTAATTGGTATACTGTATTCTAAATGTGCAGGTTTAGGTGTGGTAAAGAGATCATTTGTATTTATTTAAAACTTAAGATCTGACAAAAAATATCACATTCGTTTAGAAATCAAAGTACAAGTTGAAGCATAAATTAATATTAAACAACGAGTATTCATCGTATCCCAGCTATTTGTGTGTGGCAGAATTATTGTGATTATTTTTAAGATGTTTTTAATGTACCTGTTGTTCGATTGCGACTTTGTGCTCATTAATATGCAAATTTTGTAACCGCACCTTTTTTTCATGCATATGTTGTTTTATGCTCTTGTTATGGCCAGTTTGTAACCCACTCGTGTCAGTAGCTTCTGTAAAACACTCCTGTCTCCTAATTTTGTAACTAATTCTAACAGTTTATCACATTCTTTAAGATACAGAGTCTCACCACTTTTTAACTATATGCAGGCCCTGAAAAAAGTTATTCCTGTTAAATTTATTGATTTTTTTTTATAATCATTCACAACAGCTGTATGTTGTGGGCCTATTTAGGGCGTTTAACATTTTGGAATTATCCCCAGCCAGTAATGTCGCAGAAAAGTATTAGCATTATTAACTTGTAGTACAGTGGAAAAGCTTTATAAGAGTTTTGAATTACCAAAGCAGAGGTGTTTTGTTGAAGTTGAATGACCATGAATAATGATTTCTTTTCTATATAACTCTTTGGTGTACCGACATATATCACTGGGAGTTTCTACCTCAACTCCAGCTGTGATCTGCTCCAGCAGTAACACACTCCAGTAACACACTCCAGTAACCAACTCCAGCTGTGATCTGCTCCAGCAGTAGCACACTCCAGTAACAAACTCCAGCTGTTCCGTTATTTATAGCTGAAGATTCCTCTCCATTGTTTAAAGTACCCTATATAAAAAGAAACATAAGTGTGTTTAACTCATTCACCACTGAAGACATATTTGAACTCTTCCAATCCAAACCTTGGAATAGTTCATTATGCAATTTCGGGGGTTAATGCATTAAAAGTGTCAAATCGGGTACAAAATCACAAAAGAAACTTCCCAAACAATGCCACATGGAAATCTAGTTCTAGAAGCAAGAAATTGGTTATTTATTTGTGATTTTGTTTTATTTCATGTATTTGTGATATTATTTTAGTAGGTTTCATATTTTCCCAATGTGAATTTTATTGAAACGTTTGTGATGTATATTAACTCATTCACCCCTGAAATTTCATAATGAACTATTCCCAACCATTGAATTGGGAGGGTTCAAATGTGTCTTCAGGGGTGAATGAGTTAAGT